CAACACCTACAAACACTAACAAGGCCTCAAAGCTTGGTTCAAATTGAATCAAGGGTCGTGAAATGCTCGACATTACTTCAACATGAAGTTTAAAGTATAGTTCTGACATTATTCTAGTCCACTAATTGAACTACACCCAGAATGTGTCTTTTCTGAGTATACCCTTGATCGTCTATATGCCAGATGCAAATGAGACATTCGAGCATGTGGATGCAAATTTTCGCCATTTCTTCCTTTGATGAAAATGCACTTCCAAAATAATAACACCTTCGATTAAGACCAAAAGCCTTGCGCACCCACGATGAATTTGTGGGGGAGGGGGACTTTGGCTGAAGAATCTCCGATGCTAAAGTTAAAATTCTAAAAAGAATGTGTTTAGGAGTTTATGGGTAACAAATGGCTTAGCATTTTTATGGGATAAATGGGGTATTTATAGGAGAGTGGCCGGGCCTTAGGGTAAGGAATGGCTGGCCCCTTATGGTGTATTTGGTTGATAATTGCAAGATATTATGGGAAATAATATCTTGCAATTAACATGGCAATTATTCCTAATTTAAATAGGAACTTTTGGGAGTTACCTTGCGAATAATATCAAATAGGGATTGATGAGGAGTGATGAGAGGGATTTGAATAAATACCATATTGATCACCATTGACTTTTCCTTGATTGAGCCGTTATTGTCCATTGCATGCGTGTGGGAATTCCGGTGTGCCTTGAGGGTAATCTCGCCCTTCTTGTCCAAACTCCACTTGTCAGCTCCATGATTTTTGGGATTATTTTTGGCTCCACAAATGCCCCCACACCTACTAAGATGCTCGTAAGAAAGGGCAGTAGGTGTAGAGATGTCCAACTTTGATACAGATTCCCACTTGTGCTTGGAATTAAATTCTTCTAGGAAAGGGAAATGAATCGCCACCGAAGCCTATTTAAGCCTACCTTAAGTAGGGGATTAAATCAACTTCGGAAGACAATTATTTATCCATACAAGAAAGAGAGAAAGCTAGAGAATATTTGTTCCCCCTCCCCTAGCAATTCTTCTTCGCTTACCCATGTAAAGAACAATATTATGTTGATTTCTTTGTCTTCTCCGTGCCGCACCAAGGTAAGAAATACTTAATTTTCTTTATCTTATTCTTGGGTGATGCTGTCGCGGGGCAGCTGTTGGGGTGGTGCGGCGCATCGACTGGCAGAGGCCAGGAGTTGGCTCTGCATGGATCAATGCCTCGACTTTGGAATGCGCTAGCCTTGGGCTCGCAAGTGCTAAGTTGCTTCTTTTGCTGTAGCTGCCACTATAGCGTCTTGGGCCTGATGGATCTGAATTGCTTCGTGTTGGGCTGGCTGCTTTGTGGCACGGGCCTAGGCTTGCTAATGCATTGTAGCTAGCTCACCATCGGCAATGGGTTCGCCATGGGCTACTACGGTGGCTGCTTCCATGGTATCTCCCACAGTAGTGCCCCGTGGGGGTAGTGTTGATCCTCTTGCAGTCATGTTGAGCTTTATGGATCGTCGTGGTGGGGCTACATCGCATCCTCCATCGTTTGATCCGGATCTTTGAACATAGGAAGTTCTGTTTGTCGGGGTTTTCGAGTCTCCCGTCATTGTACTTTTCTTTTACGTTTATTCAAAGAACTTTATAAAAAAACTCTAGGAATAAGAATGTACAAAAAATCTACGAATGAATGAGAAATGAGAAACTTTGAATACGAGAGTCTTCTTTGAGTGTGTGAATCAAACTCTCAATGACATCACAAATTTATGGATGTAATTTTCTACCATCTCTTCCTTTGATGAAAAAGCACATGCAAAATGATAATAATAACACCTTCGATTAAGGCCAAAAGCCTCACACGCCTATGATGATTTTGGGGGGGAGGGGGGGCTTTGGCCACAGAATCTCTGATACCAAAGTTAGAATTCTGAAAAGAATGTGTTTAGGAGTTTGTGGGTAGCAAATGGCTTAACATTTTTGTGGGATAAGTGGGGTATTTATAGGAGAGTGGCTGGCCCTTAGGGTGAGGAGTGGCCGACCCTTTATGGTGTACTTGGGTGATAATTGCAAGATATTATGGGATATAATATCTTGCAATTAACATGACAATTATTCCTAATTTAAATATGAAGTTTTGGGAGTTACCCTTTGAATAAAATCAATTAAGGATTGATAAGGAGTGATAAGAGGGATTTGAACAAATACCATATTGATCACCTTTGACTCTTCCTTGATTGAGTCATTATTGTCCGTTGCATGCGCGTGGGAGTTCCATTGTACCTCGAGGGTAATCTCGTCCATATTGTCCAAAATCCACGTGTCACCTCCATGATTTTTGGGATTATTTTTGGCCCCATAGAGGAGTTATGGAGCTGATATTTATCATACTTAGCTCAAAGCACTAGATTAGACATTTCAATTGTTGACAATCTTTTAGTATAAAGTAGTATTGTGCCAACACGCCACCACCAAATTGGTGTTAAAGATGTTTTACTGTTACTGCGAATTTGGGCTTACTTTATCCATATGCATCTTAGAATGAATCGCAACCTCTTGGTTCTTGGAAATATGTCTACCTTGTGTGATACACTGACTCAAATTATCTGTCTAATCCGAACAAGGTACATTTCCAAATATGTTATGTCTTTATCGTTAGGAAAACTGCAATAACTTAGAAGTCATCCAAATAAAAACTTAGAAGTCATCCAAATAAACCTTAGTTGTAAAATCTTCGAATCGTTCCAAGACTCACCTTCACTATGCCACACGTGAAACATGGTTGAGAGTTCTTGTTGAGCATATTCGATGTACCTACTGTTTCATCCATCGTTGAGTCCCAATGATGATCCATGAAGGTTATGCCGCATGTATTGTTCCAACCAAGACATGATACATCAACGAAGTCAATGCCAAGCATATTCTGTATACGTCACATCAACATGAGCATCAGAAGATTGAAGTCAAGCAAATTCAATCTAAAGACAACCTTGCCAACCTCTATACAACGTCATTGCCGAAATCTACTTTTTAGAAGCTTGTCCGAGGAATTAATATGCATAATTATCTCATTAGCAATGTTTGTAGTTCTATCCAAAATTATACTCATTGATAATTGATCTTAATGTACTATTTTTCCCTACGATTAGGAGCATTTTTCCCACTGGGTTTTTGCTACCTGGCTAGGTTTTAACAAGGCACACTATCCTAGGATGGTCATACCCTTGGAAGCATTATGCTTGCATCCAGAAGACATTTAGTTTTGACTTAATGCAACTTCTCACTTTTCTCCTTAGATTAGGGGTTTTATCCACCTTGGGTTTTACTATAGCAAGCTTTTGTGAGTTTTACCACCTATGCATTATTCCGTTTGTTTTGAGATTCCCATTCGCTACTTGTGTCGACTAGACGAGACGACTTCATCAATTGCTTCTACATTTGCGCCATCTACTTGAGTATTTACATACTAAAAGGGGAATGTTATGAATATACTTTTAGTCCATGTATGATTATATAAATCAATAGTATATTTTATTTAGGATACTAGAAGATCTTTTCCCTTTAATACTGTATTACTTGCAAGGCAAGAAATCCTCTTTGCTTTACTATAAATAAAGGTACAAGGACCGAGAAATAACACACATAATTCCTCAAACCCTTTTCTCTATCTTTCTTCCCGTTGCCGCACCTCTCTCTCCCTCAAATCAAATAGTTCACAACAAACACATATCTGTATCTAGTACATTGCATACAATTAAGCAAAATGTTTAACAGCATGATTATATAACGCAAACCTACCAGTCTGCATACAATTAAGCAAAATGTTTAACAGCATGATTATATAACGCAAACCTACCAGTCTACTTCAAATGCGTTCTCTCATAAAGCACGAGAGTGCTTACACTTTGAATAGTTAACCAAATTTAATAGAAAGGTTGGACTTTATACGATTCTTTATTTGAGGAAAATGTAAGAGAAAAATCAAACACGTATAATGTACGTCCTAATTATATTGTATTGACTGGAGGATAACTTATAGGTAGCTTTCATTGATCCAGGTGGGGCTATAGCCATGTGGCTAGTGGTGGTTGGGACCGGGGATGCTTGGATATATATGTCTCTCCGATGAGCAAGTGTACAGTTATACGCCTTACATATATATGGTTGTTTGGGCATCAATTCCAAGTGTTCAATTACTTACCTACACACAAACAAAGATTATTACAAGCGATTCTACACTTATTTATATTAAGAAGATTTGCATGATTTGAACTCGGAATGCAGTGCGTCGAAGATAAACATCCTAATCATCAAGACAATTCACCACTTGTCAACGATATTGAATTAATTGAGTTTAGAAAAAAAACAACTTGGCAAAATTTCCCACGATCAATTTTGTGTAATATGCTTACAACTAGAGTTTGACTCTAGTTAGTATGGATAAGACTTGCATTCCCCGTGTGAGGAATGCACATATTCTTCCATTTGGGAATAACGTATCTTAATAGAATAAATCAATGATAAGAATAGTTAAATTTCTTAATCTTCATTTGAGGATCACCCCTAAAAAACATCATTTGAACCGGAGATTATTTAGTAATTCAAATGTATTAAACAAATCGATGGCGTATGTACCAAGAAACATATTCATGACGAACCGTTCATTTATTTGATATGTTTAGATGACAAAACAATCTTCAATTTAAATGATTTTTGTAGGACTAATGTTCAAATGAAAATTAATAAATTGAATGATTTCAATCATTTTTTGTCAAGATACATTATTCGTAAAACAGGACATACGTGCACGCCACACAGGGATGCAAGTATTATCCAATAAGTATTGTTTTAAAATTTGTGGATTATTATTGGAAAATTAGAAAGACAACAAGAAGTCAATCGGAGTAATGACCACGATAGAAGAGTTCAATATTGAGTCAACTAATTTATGAAATTCCAGCTTCTTACAAATCATTTGAAGTTCATGGTGTCAGATATATATCTATTGTGCGGTTATTTCTTACCCATGCAATCCTTTCTCTCTCTCTCTCTCTCTCTCTCTCTGAGTTTAGGTGTTCCTGTTCTGGCTAGCTTTTGTGAGAGAAAATGGACAAACGTCGTTCACATAAACAAGAAGCCAAGAACACTGCCAATTCCGGCTCAGAAGGTGTTAGGGACACAATAATTTTCATCTCTCTTTAAATATATTGTTCATGATTGTCATGGTTAATTCATGCAGAAGAAGTGAGCAGTATCAAATGGGAGTACGTAAAGATGAGTGAAGACGAGGTGGATCTGATCTACAGAATGTACAGACTTGTCGGAGACAGGTTCGATCGATCTAAACTGAACCATTATCTTAAGAAACTGTTATTGGCACTCTAAAAACATAATTATTATGCACTCCTCATCAATGATATTAAAGAAAATAACTACTACACAGAGTACTATATATATACAAAGACTAATGCCATCGTTTGTAATCATAAATAGTTTATAGCTAGCTAGCTGAACCAGCTTGAACAACATTAGCAGGTGGCATTTGATTGCGGGTCGGATTCCAGGACGAAAAGCAGAAGAAATAGAGAGGTTCTGGATAATGGCACATAGCGAAACATTCTCTCGGAAAAGAAACGAGCCTGCATATCCAACAAAAGACTAAATCATAGCCTCCCGTTTATTTTTTTTCCCTCCAAAAGTATGACCATTTTGTGATTTTCCTCATCTGTGTTTCTGAATAAATATATAACCGGAATAAGGAGATTCGAATTTTGAACCTATCCTAATATTTGGGAGAGTTTTTATTTTTTTATTTTTCATTCATTTGATTTAGAGGTTATTATTTTGTGCTTGTACAATCTTTATAAGTTTGGGTTCTCTATTTTTTTGTGGCCAAGTCTCTTATCGAAATCAATCAAAATCAAACGTTTCATCCAAACTTCTTTTTATTCTAACGTGAGAAGTGATAAACACACACTTTCTTAGTTTCTCACATACTCATGTTTAATCATATTTGTTGTTTCTGTTTAATTTATTTAATCTGAGGACAAACATAAAGCTAAAAACGGTGTATAAAGATCACTTCCCAGTTAGAACTTTCATCATCATGTTGTTATCAAGAGTCTTCTCATCACATAAGTAAGATTGACATATATGACTCATACCACATAAATATTTGTGCAACTTGAGAAATCACATAACAAATAGTAGATTCCATGCATACATATAATAACCAGAATTTTAATATGGTCCTAAATGCTACTTAACTATGTTATTCTTATTCTTTGAGAACCGAAATTCAACCCCTCACCTGGCTTTATTTTGGTTACAAAGTTAATATAACCCTGTCCATGCTAATTTGGTGGGAGGTTTATAGTGTAATTGTTGATGCTGAAATTTACCTACAATCAACACGAATTGTATGGATATTTATTTAGTTAAGAGTGTGAACCTTACATTACAATCAAAGCCTTTCGTTCTATTTCAGATCATTTTCAGCTTTTCTTGTATTGCCTAATTAGTTTTAAAATAGAAATTCATAGGTTAAAGACGCGTTGTGAGTATTTAAATATTATATTACATTCATTAGTACAATGTAGTAAACTTATTAGAATTCATCTATCATTATTAAAATACATTTTTCAAGATAAATCAGTAAGATTAGAAAAAGAGATGGAACCAACAACCATAACAAACAAACATGGTCAGAGGAAACATGGTCAATAATCTCGTCACATAAGAATGTCCAAGTGCTTATAACAACGTGTTGACCAATAACCAAATACCACATATATATAGCTTATGTAGCTTTGCACTTCCTTTTTCCACACTAACGCCAGCGCCTGCATCTCATGTTCTAGAATCACCAAGGAAAACCTAGAACATAGAAACAAAAAGTAGTCTTGGAGCGTACCAAAACCTATACATTTTTTCATCACACGGTCACCTGATATTATTAATTTATTTATGATATCAAATACATATTTAAATATTATGTCTCAAGTCTCTCATATCTTAAATTGTCTCACTCGTATTATAACACACAAATTAATAATATTACGTAACAATATGACAATCGCAGCCGAAATTTTTTCTAAATAGTAACGAAATAGGCCAATAGGGTATGAACTTTGAACATTCTTAGCAAGTACCTTGCTAACAACACAACAACTCTTGACTATCTATTCTTCCAAATCGCAATCATGCAATGCCACGAAGGACAAATCACAAAGGGAGAGAGAAGGAAAGTGCGGGAGAGACAAGGGGAGAGAAAGAAAGTGTACGCGAGAGAGAGAGAGAGAGAGAGAGAGAAACCATTTTACAAGTTATATCTGTAGAGAATTAGAAGAAGTTGAATTGGTCAGCATAGACCTTACTTTTTCTATATGCAGACCAAAGACCAGTCAGAGCTGAAAAACTCGCTTTCTCAGTCAAAACCTCAGACTTTCCACTCTCCAAATCTTCCACTTCAATATTCAAATTAACAAGTCACCTATATATATACAACCTCTCAACTTTCTCCGTTCAAATCAAAACTCTCTCACTCTCTTTGCTTCTGCAGCTTCACTACTCTAATCTTCTTCCCTTTTCCTGCATACTCAATTCCTCACTTCAAATAATCTTCAAATTCTGGATACCAATTCCTCACTTCAAATAATCTTCAAATTCTGGATTCCAATTCCATGTCTGTACCTTCTTACTGCAAACAACGTTTCGGAGCTCACGAATCTCCTTGGGTTCTACTCTTTCTCGGAATATTGCGAAGCTTTAGTGGGATGAAGTTGATGAAGGTTCTTAAACACTGCTCATAATCTTCCACGGTAGTTTTAGTTCACGTGGTTAAGAGTGTCTAAGGTCCTGTGTTCAAATCCTCCCTTCCCCAATATCGCTTGTATCAGGAAGAAAAAATCATTGCTCATAATCCCAACAGACATATAGAATTGAAGAAATGGATTCTGGTAAGAGCGGGGAGCAGAAGTCACTGGTCAATGAGATCATTGAAGGAATGGAGCTAGCAAAACAGTTGAGGCTATGTCTAAATGCAAAATCGTCAGCAGACACCAAGCAATTTTTAGTGCAGAGGATACTGTCGTCATATGAGAAGGCCCTTCTGATGCTGAAATGTGGTGGTTCGCCACAAAGTCCTATCAGAGCAATTGCTAGCGCACCGGAGTCGCTAATGTCAGCCAATGAAGGACCTTGTTGCGTTGAGAATAACAGCAGTCTCCAGGATCATCAGGACCTGACGGCGGTCTCCAAGAAAAGGTGAGATTGGATTAACAATTAAGTCAAAAAAATAGGCCTCTTGGTGTCAAGGATTGTATTGGATAAATGCACTAAATTCAATATATGTTGAATGAAGAAATGGATGCCAACTTCCAAGTTGAAAGTAGAAGATGAATTAGCGACGAAGGAAACTTACCCTTGTAATTCCCACAAAAAATGGTAGGATTGGGAAGGATAAGTTTCCTCGTTGCTAATCCATCTGGGGAGTTATCCAATCCAATCTAATCTTATCCACCAAACGAGCGTAATCGCAAAGAACCAAATGCTGATTTGAATTTGCATATTGCAGAAAGGAAATGGCCAAATGGACAGAACATGTCACGAGAGTAATCTCTGAGAATGGGATTGAAGGACCCCATGAAGATGGCCACAGCTGGAGAAAATATGGGCAAAAAGACATCCTAGGAGCCAAACATCCAAGGTAAAATTAAGGATCTTGTTTTACTTTAATCAGTTAATCTTATCCTGCTGCAATCATTTGCAGTAACAGTCACTTGTCCCACGTGTTAAAAAGCAATATAAAATACATTACCTTTAATACGCACGTGCACAAAAGCTGAAGATTTTGGTAGGGAAAAGATTCATCCTTGAGAAGCTGCAAACACAGCAGTATTCTTCTGTAAGATGGAAAGTTTCACATTGTTATGAACAATTCTGATGATCAACTTGTTTAAAATCCGCAGAAGCTATTACAGATGCACGTACCGGAACACGCAGAATTGTTGGGCTACAAAGCAAGTGCAAAGATCAGACGAAGACCCCACCGTCTTCGAAATCACATACAAAGGGAAGCATACATGTTCTCATGGCGGCAGTTCAGTGCCACCGCCACCATCACCAGAAAAGCAAGAACGAAAACGACACAATCATAACAATACTTATCAACAACAGCAGTCTCAAGGAAACCAAATGAGCTTCCCAACTAATCTGAGAGTCAATACTGAGAACTTAGACGACAGAGAGAACACAGCATCTCCTTTCTCTTTTACTTCATCTCCGTTCGGAAGTATCAGCGATGACGCCTTCCTATCTTCGATGCTTGATGATAAAAGTCTTTTTGACAATTTCAATCAATCATTCCTGTCTCCAGCCGCAGGCGGATCAAACTATTACTTTGCGCTGCCTAGCCAGATGAGAAACATTGCAGGAAACGAGCAACGTTCGGAATCTGATATCATCTCAGCCAACAATTCGTCAACCAATTCTCCGATTCCGGACATGGATTTTCCACTGCAGCCAGTCGAACTCGACCCCTATTTCCCATTTGACTCCCCAGGATTTTTCTTATAAATCTACTTGATCTTTGAGAATAAGAATAAGTAGCTTCGAGATTGCCAATACCATATCTTGAATCAACCATGTATTATAGAAGAGGAAGATTTCTAGTAAAAGATAAGAGCTTTTTGTGATGTTCAACATATAGCAACAGTTCCATAGCCACATTTTATAACCAAATAAAATGAAGATCCTACCACATTGCTTTCGAAAAATAAACAAACTTTCAAAGACTCTGAGGCGGCGGTTATGTTCTTAGTTCGATAACAACATAACAGAATCAGAAAGATAAGGATATTGTAGGCACATCCGCAATATATATGATTGTAGATTGGACAATAATTCAACTATTCAAGACTCTACACAAAAAAGAAAAAACACTAAAAGTGTTGCAACTTTACATACAGTGAATGAACACAGAGAGAGCCGGCTGCTGCACCTAAACAGAAGTTTTCTTCTCCTCCTTCAACCTGGGAATAGGAGCTGATGTTCTTTCTTCTGCATCTCCAGCTTTTCTGAGAGCTCCCCTCAACCCCAACACGATGAATATGTTGGTTAGAGTGAGAAATGCCTCAGCCCCGCTATGTAACCAATTGACATTCGCTAATGAAGTGCCGTTATTCACCTTTGCTGTTCAGCCCCCACAACCAGAGTACGGTAAGGCATTGATCCATGAAACTTACTAAAATAATGTGCACAGATTTCTCTATTTCTCGAACACGAAATCTCACCATAAATTCCAGCAGGAACTGCTCAGTTGATAAGAGGAAAGAGAGAACAAAATTATGTCAGTAGAGTCCAATCAGAGCATCTGACAGTAATCATTTAATAATAGAAGGCCAAATTCAACATCAAACAACAATCCAACTAGAGTGTAGTGAATGTTTGACGGGGCAATTCAACATGACTATGTGACAATTTGCTCAGCAGAAACACAACCGTTGTCTTTCGGTTCGAGAGAAGTGACATGCATTTGTGAGACCAAGATGGCGGTATCTCAAGCCTATAATGCACCACCACGAGTTTTTACTTGGCAACATAGCTTCACATGATTAGTTTGAGATATTGTGACTTTAGTGTCCCAGTTGCATATAAGTTCTCTTCTGGCCAATAGACTATCGTAAAACAATAAACAGTATCCAAGTACACATGAACATGCAATACTTTGTTGTTATGTTTCTCAAATTTCAGGAATTTGCAATCCAATTGGAGGCCTTAACAATTGCTAAACTAACCAACCCAAAAAAGGATAAATTATCAAAAACCCAGGAAGCCAGGAAATTTTTTTAAAAAAGGTGCTAGAAAAGGAAAAGCTGGGAAAAACTCACTGGTGGCCCCCACAAAAGCAAGCAAGAAGTAGAACCCAAAAAGGGTGAGCTTTGGGGCAGATTTTGACTTGGTGATGAACTACAAGAAACCCAGGTAGGGAAACAGGGAAGCTGCAAACAGCTGTGAAGCTATGCTCTGTGAGTCAATGCTGGGCGCCCATGGATCAATCGGGAACACCACACCAAACACAATCCCACCCGAACCTCTTCTGCTTTTACTGCCGATTCTTCTTTCTGTGTAAAACTTGGATTCTCTGCTTCTGGAAAGTGGGTTCGGGTCGGGGATCCGCGAGAAACATGGAGAACCCAGAAAAGTTGGAGGAGGAAAAATGGTGGAGGATTTACAGAGATTGAATGCAGGTGATGGTCATTGAGGAGAGAGAGGTGGAGTGAGAGTGTTCAGAGCGGGTATTGGTTGGAGCCGTTTTTGTTATCATCAAAGTCAGAGTAAGTGGCCAGATCTAGACCGTTCAATTTCCTTACTTCCGGGAATGTGGAGCAGGTGGTTTTATCTGGACCGTTTAATAATAATAGGGCCTTGGTTTTTATATTTGAAGAAACCCACTCCACACCCGCCCCCCGCCCAAACAACCAGCACCCCCCCTCCCCCCCCCCCCCCCCCCCCCCCCCCCAAAAACCCCCCCTCCCGCCCAATTAAACGTCTGGTTTTGACCTGTTAAAACTCTGAATTCGCTTTGAAATGTGAAGAAGGACATGAAATGAGTTAACTGTGATGTGACATTCTAATTTAACAATACATTAGCATGCAGATAAAAATTTTGTTTAACATGCATCATTTGATTGGAACATCACATGTCATTGAACTCGTTATAAATAAGTTATTTTTCGAAATGTGCTCTTTAAGTGTTAAATGGAATGTCTCAATGACATTGGGCAGTGTGCTTAGGGCAAGAAATAGACGAGTTACGTTGTGAGTCTTATGTTGTGTGTTGTCTTATTACCAGACAACTTGCAAAATAAAAGCTTGGAGGTGTCAAAGTACTTTTGTTGAGCTCTTTTGAGGTAGTTTTTGATTTTTTTCTCAATGAATTATTGAATTTAGTACTATGTGAGCAGGTAACCAGATTGTAATTGCAGACAATTACTGGGTTTTGTTGACAATAAGCTGTCAATTATTAGAAATCGGAAGTTAACTTGATATTGGTTTTATGTTTCGACTGTTTACTATGTTTTTGAGTTTTGGTTAAAAATTTGATCTCTTTAACATTATTCAAACTTTAAAGGTGTTAAAAGTTTTGGGCGTTTCTGGGGAAAGTCTTGGTCTTTGTCTTGGTGATAAGAAGCTCTCAATTGTTAGAAATTAGAAGTTTGGAAGTTCATAGTTATGCGTTTAATATGACTTTGCGTTTCAGTTAATTGACATAAGTTTCGTGGCTTGATTACTTGATGATGGGTTTTTTTGTCGCATTGATGTGAGTTTTGGTTGCAAACATTTCCTTGATAATAAAACCATATGAACAAGTTGTCACTTAGTACTATGTCTAGCGGTATTCATCTTTACTTGTAAGTGAGAGGTCTTAGGTTCGACTCTCGCCAAAGGTGAATTTGAACCATATTATTGCTAGCATATTGTGAGGCTATGCCCACGCCCTCCCCTTAGTGTAGATACTATTATTTGTTCAAAGAAAAAACCCATATGACCAAGTTTGAAAGCAAAACTTAAAAATAAACTTAGGGCCGGCCATGAGGATAGTCAAAGTAGGCGCCCACCTAGGACCTTCAATAAAAATATCGAAACTAAATTCATAGGTAATAATATAATTTAAAACAAAAAAAGGGTTAATGACAAAAAACTACCTCAAGTTTGGGTCAAATGACACTTTAATACCTCATCTTTTAAAATTGACAATGTCATACCTCATCTTACGAATTTGTGTCAATGTTATACCTTCCGTTAGCTTGGCCGTTTATTTCTCAGTTAAATGCTGACGTGGCTTGATCCGGGACCCATTTTTATTAAAAAATTAATAAAAAAATTATTAAAGACAAAAAAAATCATTTAATATTATTTAAATATTAAAATAATAAAGACCCTTTTTTTTTTTCCTTCTCTCTTCTTTTTCTTCCCTCTTCTTCCCTCTTCTTCTTCTTCTTCTTCTGCAGGGGGACGAACTGAGCGAACTGGCTTTTTTTTTTTTTTTTTTTTTTTTGTTCTTCTCTCTTCTTCTTCTTCCTTCTTCTTCCCTCTTCTTCTTCTTCTTCTTCTTCTTCTTCTACTTTTGCAGGGGGACGAAGTGGGTTTTTTTTTTTTTTTCTTTTTCTTCTCTCTTCTTCCCTCTTCTGCAGGGGACGAACTCGATTTTTTTTTTCTTTCTTTTTCTTCTCTCTTCTTCTTCTTCTTCTTCTTCTGCAGGGGGCGAACTGGGTTTTTTTTTTTTTTTTCTTCCCTCTTCTTCTTCTTCTTCTTCTTCTTCTTCTTCTTCTGCAGGGGGACGAACTGGGTATTTTTTTATTTTTTATTTTTTCTTCTTCTTCTCTTTCTTCTGCTTCCCTCTTCTTCTGCGGGTTATCCCTCTTCTTCTTCTTCTTCTTCTTCTTCTTCTTCTTCTGCAGGGGGACGAACTGGGTTTTTTTTTTTTCTTCTTCTTCTTCTCTTTCTTCTGCTTCCCTCTTCTTCTGCGGGTTAGGTTGGGGGGGGTGGGGTTGGGTGGGAGGGGACGGGTTTGCTGCTGTTTTTTTTTATTTTTTTATTTTTTTATTTTCCTTCTCTCTTCTTCTTCCTCCCACTTCTTCCCTCTTCTTCCCTCTTCTTCTTCTTCTGCAAGGGACGAACTGGGTTTCCATTGTTTTTTTTTTTTTTTTTTTTTTTTTTTGTGTTTCCTTCTTCTTCCTCCTCCTTTCTAGGTTGCAGGGGGTTAAGTTTGTGGTGGGGGGAGGGGGGATGAACTGGGTTTGGTTTGGTTTGGGTTTTTTTTTTTTTTTTTTTTTTTCTCTTCTTCTTCTTCTTCTTTCTCCTTCTTCTTTTCTGGGTTGCTGGGTTGCAGGAAGATGATGGGGAAGAGAGAGGGGGGAGATGCACGAAAGGAGAGGGAAGATGATGTCTAATGTTTTTAATTTTTTTATGTACTTTTTATTATTATTTTAATATTTAAATAATATTAAATGATTTTTTTTGTTTTTAATAATTTTTTTATTAATTTTTTAATAAAAATGGGTCCCGGATCAAGCCACGTCAGCATTTAACTGAGAAATAAACGGCCAAACTAACGGAAGGTATAACATTGACACAAATTCGTAAGATGAGGTATGACATTGTCAATTTTAAAAGATGAGGTATGAAAGTGTCATTTGACCCATATTTGAGGTAGTTTTTTGTAATTAACCCAAAAAAAAAGAAAGAATTTTACTGTTTTCTTCTTCTTCCTCACCCACATGTAAGTTGTTACTATAGTTTTATTCTTTCAAATCCAATTGAAATTTTAAAAATAAAAATATCAGTCTTTTTCTTGATACAACCCCAATTGCTCTCTTTTTGTTTTCGCAAAATCTATCGCTTTTCTCTCTCGGTCTTCACATGATGAGTATCCTAATATTGATGTGAAAAACTTCTTTCTAGAGTTAAGAATTTTGAGAGAAATTTTACCAAAGGAAATAAATTGGGCAACAAAAGTATTGAAATATTTGAGACAAATGGATGGTTGTTTCCCGAATGCATGGGTTGCTAATACCATACAAGTTACAGTTGCCTATGCAGAAAGATGTTTTTCAAAATTAAAGGTCATCAAATATTATCTTCGATCAACTATGTCACAAGAAAGATTGAATGGATAAACTATTTCATCAATTGAAAAAGAATTCGTTGAAAAATTAGATTATATAAACTTAATTAGCACATTTGCGAGAAGTATAATATTTAAGTGATATGTGTATATATTTTTTCTTTTGATATTAATTTCGAATGATATTTAATGTAGAATAGACTGTTTCATGCATTTAGCGAATTCTTTTTTATATACATATCATATCAATATATATACAAAATGTCAGAGGTCAAAGACCTTTAGGATCCTATTTCAAAGGCTCGCCTAGGCCCTCAAATTCTGAGGACCGGTTCTGAAATAAATTAGTCTTTATGGCACCCTTATACACTACTGTCCGGATTGTCCTATAAACATAGGGAGTAGGTTAAAGTCAGTCAACCAGTGAAGAGTTGTTGTGTCTTCACTGAGTTCTTCTTGCTTGAGAACCTTGTTTCAAACTGGTTATGTATAGTCCCTTAACTTTCTGTTATTCACGTTAAAAGACCTGGAAACCGAACCTTTACTCCAACAACGGGAAACCAAAGCGTTTCGTCTCCAAATTTGCTTGCTTCTTATGCTTGTAGTCATCACTGTGTCTTTTTACACTTTCGCAGCGGCAAAAGGCAAATATATTGTTGAAAGAGGATCTTCTCTTCCAGTGGAAGACGATTCTGACTTGCTAACTTCACCGGATAAGCCTTTCACATGTGGGTTCTATGGTTTGGGTAAAAATGCCTAATGGTTCTCCTTTTGGCATTTCTTTACAAATAATGAATGCGAACGAGGGTTGCAAGCCTAAGTTCAAGCTTACATGCTCTCAGAAATTCATGCTGATTAAGCGTGTAGATTTCTATGGATTTGATCTCGCGTATAATGAATCCACTTCCATTCACTACTGCAAAAACCTCTGCGCGGAGGATTGCCGTTGTGAATCATATGCCTACAGGGGATGGAAGTGCTACATAAAAGGCGCTCTCTTCAGGGGGCGCAGCGCAGCTCTCCCATGTCAATGGCAGTCTATACACAAGGCTGCCTCCTAGTGTGGAAATGCTTCCATCCATCAAATTTAACTTCTCTAAACCATGCAGCATCAATAAGACTAAGGTCGAAACCGGATCTCCTTCAATGTATGAAAAACCGAGAAAAACGGTGAGATGGGATTGAACTTTTTTTCAAATTTGCACCAGACAGAATGAATTTGTCTTAGATTAATTTGTCTTAGATTAAGTTATCCCATCCTTTTTGCTTGGACAGATTGGACTAAGCTCAACACATACAATCCTGAAATAGTTATGCTAATGAATCTGCAAGATTTGGTTTATTCGGTAATTAGGATCTCTCACAACACTAGAATATGTAGAGCCTAAAAACGAAAACATTATTACACCAGCGTTTGTAATATGATGTTTTTGTTTCTGCAGTCAGAAAATTAAATCAGTTGAGAGAGAGAGAGTTCTTTGATAACCTGTTAGACGAAACACAAACCAAGAACAAGTAATATGAATTACTGTGATCAAAACACAAACTGATGTTCATTAAACTAATATACGGAGAAGATCATACCTGCAGATGAACTCGAAGAAGCAGCCACGTCCAAGTTTCGCTGTAAGGTTGCAGTGCACCATCTCCTCTCTCCAATAATCGGTTTGCTCTAACTAATAATAGGTCTTAGTTCAATGATAGAGCGTATAAACTATGAGAGCAGAGGCCACTATATATACACAATATGATCCTCGCCAAATCCCATAAGGATTCCCCTATTAGAATCCTTATAGACAACCAACATAGTCTTTCAGCATAGCATGGATTACAAGTCCATTCTCAATATGACTTCGTATCCAAACTTGAATCAAATAACTTAATCCACGTATTCATACTCATGCTCCTATTCTAACATTCTTCCACTTGAGCAAGTATGAAAAAGTAAATTAGTTCTATCAAGTTTACAACAGGGTGATCACTAAGTCTTTTGAGTTTCATCATAAACAATCTACCCGTGCATTTCAAAACATAGGACCAAATTACAACCATTATGTAAATGCTAACTTCAAATCACATATGTTCAATTTGCACTTATAACATTATGACCAAACTGATACAAGTAGACCTTAAAATTGTCTACTCCCACTATTTTCCAACTCAATTCGAAACAATTAAGTAAAACTATCAACTACTAATTCATTCCAATATAATGAATTACCAATATATGAATTCAACCAACTGCTCAAGTCAAATCACAAAGATTCTCAAAGCATCAAACTAAATCCAAAACACATATATATATATATATATATATATATATATATATCAGACCAATCAATTACAAAAATTGAATCTCTGAATGCAATAAACCTAGCTAACAATTATACTAATTGATAATTAAACTAGCTAAACATAAACTTAACTTTAGAGAAGAACATTATTGCCACACCAACTCTTCGAACTTCACAGAAGCAGCACTTCTCAAACTTTATTTTGCAACCGTCTTTAATGCAGCAATTGCTTTTTATAAAATAGAATAACAAACTACTCCCACTGATCGAAAGACTTTTCACAGACATTAACTACCTCTTTGCCATTAGCTCTCAGATAATCTTGAATTATTTCTAGCATTGTTGAATTTCTTCCCTTTTCCTCCTTGCACAAAATTCACAGTCTCAACATCCTTGCCTCTTTCTTGTTGTTGCCGAGTCTCCTCTTGAACACATTGTGCGATGAGCTCATCTATATCCCAACTCTTGTCTTGTGTATTATAACACCTTCAACTGAGAGTACTTGCTATGGAGAGCCTGGAAGATCATGAATACCAGTTGCTTTTCACCAATATTGACATCCAGTGTATTCAACTTTTCAGCAGCATCGGTCATTGTCATGATATGATCTTTTATAAAACCAGTGCCTTCAATCTTGTATGTGGTGAGCATTGCCATGTATTTGTTGAATAAGAAGAGTATCCAAGATAACTCTAATGATCCCAAGAAGAAGAAAATAGAGTACACTCTTAAAGAAAACTCACAAAACAAACTAATTAGCAAAGCTTTTCTTATTTAGCTCTAGGCTTTGTTTTTCCTTGGATGATATACAATGCTTGGGGACTTGGGTATTTATAGCAAACCAAATGAAAGATACACCACACACTTACTTCACCTACAACATCCACCTACTTCACCTACAACCTCCACTTACTTCACCAACCTCACACACTTACTTCACCTACAACATCCACCTACTTCACCTACAACCTCCACTTACTTCACCAACCTCACACACTTACTTCACCTACAAATGACATTGATTCTCAACAGTATTGACTAATTTCCACCTTTTGAGACTCCTTGGACTTTTTCTCAATTGCATTCAAATAATCAACTGCTAATTCATGCTTCTTTATTCCACCTCGAATAGTATCGGTCATGGCACTTTCAAGGATAGAAAGTGCCACTTTGTTGGCTCTGGCCCATCTCTCTGCATCTGCTTTCTCAGCCCGTGTACATTGATCAGTCAGAATTGGTTTGGGAGTATCCAATGCAACATCAAACTAATTAAGTGTCAACAACAGTCCAATCTCTCATCTCCACTTCTTGTAGTTGCTTCCCCCAATGAGAATGAGAATATTGGCTAAGTTCATAGTCCTTAATGATATTGCAGATCCTGCAGATTCAGCGAAGAAATATGCAACAATAGATAACCAATAGATGTCTCATGCATAATGATGTAATATCAAAATAAAACGATCATCAAAATCAGAAGATCATGACTTTCCAAGATATTGGAAAATTATAGCCTTATATGTGATTGGTCATCCATTGCTTAAGAATTCCTAACTGGCAGTTCTAATTAGTTTGGATTTTTCTTGGAAGAGAACCCAGACCAATGATTTTGCATGAAGTCCAACGGAAAAGAAAAACTTTTGGAAAAGTTTTAACGGTAATATTTTATTAACACGTTTTGTCGTTATTCATAAAAACCACATACCGGAACTCGAGTTCGATTCTTCTAGGTTGAAACATAAGGCAAATTTATTTAAGTTGCAGAACCCATTGATTTTAATAGCAGAATTCATAAACTTGTGATTAAGGCTCTGATACCACATGTTAGACGAAACATAAACCAAGAACAAGTAATATGAATTATTGTGATCAAAACACAAACTGATGTTCATTAAACTAATGTACGGAGAATATCATACCTGCAGATGAACTCGAAGAAGCAACCACTTCCAAGTTTCACTGTAAGGTTGCAGTGCACCTTCTCCTCTCTCTAGTAATCGGTTTGCTCTAACTAATAATAGGTCTTAGTTCAATGATAAAGCGTATAAACTGTGAGAGCAGGGGCCACTATATATACACAACATAATCATCAACAAATCCCATAAGGATTCCCCTATTAGAATCCTTATAGACAACCAACATAGTGTTTCAGCATAACATGGATTACAAATCCATTCTCAATAAGACTTCTTATCCAAACTTGAATCAAATAACTTAATCCACAGATTCATACTCATGCTCATATTCTAACATAACCTCCTTCCACTTGCTACACTATCATCAAGTATGTTCTTCATGCCATAATTATACTCAAAAACCGATCTTCACCAGCTAACTGAAGTCACATTTGATTCCTTCTTCCGATCCTTCGACGAATCTGAAATGAATTCAATCAAGAATATGAAAATGGATAATATTCATGGAGTTCAATGTTCAAAAGGAGGGAGAACTTCCAGAATAATTAAAGTTAAAAGTTGGATATGTGCTCGGCAAACATCTTCAATGTGTACAGGAGGAACAAAACCGATAACTTCTTGCGTGAATTTTAATGCATTGTAACTGTTCAAGTTATCAAATTGCAGAAGAATGCAGAAGAATGCTTGATGTTCATATGAGTTCTTGATAGAGAGAGAGAGACACTCGAAAGAATAACAGTTTTAGAGAGAAATAATTGTATCTTGTATATTGACTTCCTTAATACTTACAGCAGTTACTCATATATATATAGACAAGATTTCATCAGTCACTAAGTAAGCTAACTATCATATAACAAACTTAACCACTTAGCAACCTAATCTACGTACACTCATCATCTGGAACAACTAATATATCTTTACACAAGTCCCCGGTCAGTTGTGATATAACTACTCCCACACTTAGAGGCGAACTTGGGAGAAGAGTTTCTCCTCCTACTAGGCCACAAGGAAGAGTTACCGCTTATAATTTACCACCGTCAACACTGCTTTCTCTGCTAATGTCTTTGATACGATATACCCCTATAACACATTTCCAGATTAAAGATCAAACGTAATTATTCGATGCTCATTATTGTAGCGAATTCATATATCGTAGAACAAATAACGTAAGAGCAAGTAGAAGAGGTACCATTGTGAAATCAGTGCCATGAGGAAATAAGACATCAAGGGGTGTCCAACATGATTCATCAAAGTAGGGTTTGAATCTAGCCCCATCTTCTGTCTGAGGCGACGCAGCTAGTATGCTTGCAGTGTAGATGAGTCGCTTGACGGTCTGCGAACGAATGCAGGACTCAGCAATGATTCTCACCCCAGCAACAGCAGCTTCACCTGTGTCCTTGTACTGCATAATCAAAATCCTCAAATTATTACTATCCCTTTGTTTGTCGCGCACGATTGAATCAAACTATTGTTCATGATGAGACTAGAATGGATTGGACAAAATAGTCCAATCCTATTTGCTATCTACCTAAAACAGCATGAGTGTCTGACCTGAGAGCTTGGGTTGTTATGCTGCATCGGAGTGGCAACATGGAAAACAAACTCACAGCCTTCAATGGCAGGCTCAGACTCTTGAGGGTCATATAGGTCAGCTTGGAACAGCAACAATTTGGTGTTCGCATTAGGAAGGGACTTGAGAACCCCAACTTTTGACGCATCATCTGTAACATACGGAGTAACCATAAGAGGGTTGCATCACAGAGAGAGAGAGAGAGAGAGAGAGAGAGAGAGGGTGGGAGGTGGAGTTCAATGTTCATAGCCTTTTGCTCTGAGGGAAAACACAACTTGCCTTCTTAAGCCTCTACAGTTGTATACCCCCAACATACACAATATCAATTTGCATTCCAAACTAATTGATTGAAAACATTTTCGATAGTTTTATTCATACCTCGGCTTTGTGACCCGAAAGTAGTGCAATCTTCTCCAATGAGAGCCTTCCATCCGAGTCAGGGTTTAACCCAAGATGCCATATTGATATTCCCTTGATATGAATTGTGTGTTTTAAAACTTTCAAAGTTGATGGGTTACTATAAGGTACTGGTAAGTTGCTAACTTGTCTTTTTTTGGGTGGTGTGTTTCCCGTTGTCTGACAACTTCGGAAGAGAAAAACTTTAAAGTAATCAGAAGTACTTTTGCTGGCCTTTTTTGGGGAAAGTCTTGGCCTTTGTCTTGGTGATAAGAAGCTCTCAATTGTAGGAAATTACAAGTTTAGAACTTGACTAGAATTTGTACCCGCGTGTTGTTGCGAGATTGAAAACTATATAAATGATTATGCAATTTCAATCTTCATAAACAATGTTTGAGTCAAAAACTGAGTTACCAATGCCAATGCAAATTATATACAACCTCATCATGAATGAAACAAATTTAAATATCAAAAGAGAAACCTATTTCGTTTATTAAAAATGTTGTTTATTGCAACACTAAAAGTTGTCCTCTGCTATGTTGGTCATTAAGCAAGCATCCCAGGCAAGGGAAAAAAAATTGAAATAAATTTATAGACAGTAGAATTATATCATGAACAAAATAAGGATAATGAGTGTTTACCTAGTGTTTTTGTGTGCATAAAGAAGTCTGATTTTGCATGAAATGGAGATGACCTTATCTGGCAATTCTATAGGATGCGATCAAACTTTTGTGCATTTCCAACTTGTCTTGCAACCAAGTTTCTACAAAACAGATCGAATTCAAGAAAGTAATTAGACCAATGCATAAGAGATTATAAGAAAAAGTATAGAAAATATAAACCACATATAACACCTATTATACTACTATGTATTCCGAATACACCTAAAAATATATTGATTTCTAGTAAATGGTTCGGTTCCAATTAATTCCACTTTAGTTTCTTTCAAACCCTTCAACTTATCCTTGACATTTTTTTTAATGACATCATAATTAAGAGTTAGCTAATAATAAATATACAAATATGTTAACCTTTAGTTGACCCTCGACATGTACTCGGAAGAAGACTCTTTCAACATCCTAAAATCATGTCAAGAGTTAGAAGGGAGCAAGAAAAAAGTAATGTAAGAGCTCTGTAAAATTGAGGTAGAGCATATTACCTTATAGGGCCTCTTTAGAATCAGGTGGACCAAGTTCTATTGTCATGGTTTCATCATCCAATTTGTCAACCATCTGAAAAATGAAGAGAGAGTATCTACATAAGTAAAATCTGAAAAGTAATAGCAAAAAATGAGTCGGTTGTTTAAAACAACGATCTAGCTAAGACAACATCCATACCTGCATATAATTCACAACGTCTGAGATAGAACAGTGTAATAAGGAATTTCCACCAAGTTCCTTTTCAGAGATCCACCAGTCCCTCTCAAAAATCCCACTTCAATGAAAAGGAAGTTAGGCCATATTATAAAATGCATTACTCCAGCTTTTTTTCAAAAATGATATTCTAGGAAGCTAAATGCTTGAAGAACCTAAGAAGAAGATAATATATAAATTTATACTAAATTGTAATATTAAATCTACATATACTAAAGTAAAGTTATCGTAAATGCCCAAAAATAAATCTAAACAAAAACTTGGAACTAAAAACCAAATGATTATCAAACAACTCCTAAAGGATTACACATTCTGGATTTATTAAATGGAGTTTTTCAAGACCTTCAACTAAGTGAAACTAATATACAAATACTAAACAATAATATCGTACAGCCTTAACTCAATCTTCTCAAAATTGATCATGACACACCCTTTGTACCACATGGAATATCCCTTACCTACAATGTTGCTAACAGAAGCTTTCAAAACTATAATGAATGGAAAGACAAAATCCTCAATCTTCCAAACATGGATTGCCAAAGTTACCTGATCAGTCTGCAGGGTCACTTGAATGGGTTCAAAATGGGTGACCAGAGGCAGCTTGAGATGAAAACCTAAAATTTGAAATAATGAGAAGTAGGCAAGGTTAAGGCCCTATGCAATCAACTTCTCAATGCACATCACCTGGATCTGTAATTGTCTTCAGAAGAGCGCATCCTCTCCAATATACCCCAACATGACCTTCTGGGACTTGGTGCAGAATTGATATAGTTGATGATGATGGAAGAACCATCTGTAAACATCAAGACGTCCCAATTTTAAGAATTTAGCATACTAATCGAAGTTCCCCAGCTAGCATATCATAGTATTTAGCAAAAATACAATCCAAGTCTATTGCAACTATCATTACAGAAAACCAAAAATTGCAAGAAAAACCTTCGATTCAATGCATTATTGGGAAATCGCGTAACTCTAATTCTCAATCAACTAATACAAATGTTAGATAGAGGATTAATGAAGTCACCAGATGCATTTTATTGCACATGATCATGCTTAGCAAACATATGATCATTAATGACACGACAAAAGAATGCATTACGAAACTGTAAAAAACTGAAAATTAATACTTTAACACAAATATATGCATTCAGTGGAAATCAAGAATAGATACATAATACTCGAAATAGAGGAATTACTTACCATAATAAAATCTAAAAGTGAAACAAATTGATGAACAACTGAGTTAGTACTACATATCAAATGATGGATTAAGCTCGAAGATAAAATGCAATAAGCAATACTTGTTATTTGTATTAGTTGTAAATTTGAGGCCTTTCACTTTAGATTGTCGCCCCAACGTAGCAGCAAGGAAGTTGTATGCAAAGATGACAGCTGCTTTAGAACACCCATATCATAAAAGATTCAATTAGAGGCCATAGAGATTCAGCGGAACAGAGAGAAAAAGATAATCCCAAACGAAATTCTAGAGAGAAAAGAGTTACCTTGAAATCAAAGCCAGTTGAAGAATTTTCTTCGAATCGGGAAAACCGGGACAATGCTTCCTGGAAAACTGTTGAGAAAGAATTGGGGGTGGGTTGGCAGAACGTATTGGAAGCAAACAGAGCTCAATTTCACTTAACTAAGAAACCCAATTCAATCCTTGATTAGAACACATAACATAGGCTAATAAAATATCTCACCAAAGCACAAAACGCAGAACAATCGAACGAAAATCAGTGGAGAAAGAGTGAAAAGCAACAGAAGCAAAAAGAGTAAAAAGCAAAGGGAAGAAGCTAGAAGACGCAGCGATGGTCGACAGGTGGAATGGGAAGGGCATAACCGCATTTTCACTGTAGAAAAAGCTGAAATAAAGCACAACCAGATAAAATTTTGGAGGGTATTTTCGCTATTTTACTGTTATAGAACAGTACCACTTGAGTTTGGGTTTTCGTATATATAAATATGCGTTTAATATGACTTTGCGTTTCAATTAATTGACATAAGTTCGTGGTCTGATTACTTGATGATGGGTTTTTTTGGAGGAAAACTAATGAAAAGGGGTTTGAAAACTTTAAATTTTAATCAAAAAGTCAAAAAGGTGTTGTAAGTAAATAGTACTAGGAGTGACTTTTTAGAGTAAAAATGTCCTTAACGTTAATAGTGAACAGTACCATGAGTGTTTTGTTAAGACTCCTTTTTTTGTTTGTTATCATGCATTGATACCATGTCTATTTCGTTAAGACTCATTTTTTTGTTTGTTATCATGCATTGATGTGAGTTATGTTTACAAACATTTCTATTGGAGTGGAATAATTTAGATCCTCCAATCCTCTAAGAAAACATTACGCCGCTCAAGTCAGCCTTTGTTCAAAATAATTGCAGGAAACTGTAAAGCGATCTGATACTTGCCTTTTTCTTCCCATTTTTCGTCCCCCGTTCTAATGGGATTTTAGGCCTTTTATATAAAAAACTTGGACTCCATGTCTCTTTATCTCACTCCATGTTCCTTAGTAGTGGCTGATTCACGTTGCTTTATTTTATCTCCACTCGCTTAATTTTTAGGATGCATGCGAAGTGGCTAGTTTTTAGGATTCATTGACCCTTATTTTCAATGCAAAACTTAGAAATAAAACTATATGAACAAGTTTGAAGCAAAACTTAGAAATAAAAGCGTCTTTATGGCAGCCTTTCACATTTCTGTACGGACTGTCCTTAAAACACAGGGAGTAGGTTAAGGTCAGTAAACCAGTGTCGTGTAGTTGTGTCTTCACTGAGTTCTTCTTGGTTGAGAATCTTGTTTCAAACTGGTTATTTATAGTCCCTTAACTTTGTGTTCTTCACCATTAAAAGACCTCGAAACCGAACCTTTACTCCAACCACGGGAAACCAAAGTGTTTCGTCTCCAAAATTTGCTTGCTTCTTCTGCTTGTAGTAATCAGTGTGTTTTTTTACACTTTTGCAGCTGCAAAAGGCAAATATATTTTTGAAAGAGAATCTTCTCATTCAATGTATGAAAAACCGAGAAAACGGGTGAGGTGGATTGAATTGTTTTTTAAATTTACACTAGACTGAATGAATTTGTCTTAACACATACAATTCTGAAATAGTTATGCTTATGAGTATGCAAGATTTTGTTTATTCAATAAGTGAGGATCTCTCACAATACTAGAATATGCGGAGCCTAAAAACGAAAACACGATTACACCAGTGTTTGTAATATGATGGTTTTGTTTCTGCAGTCTGAAAATTAAATCAGTTGAGAAAGAGAGCTCTTTGATAACCTCCTTCCGCTTGCAACACTGTCATCAAGTATGTTCTTCATACCATACTTGTACTCAAAACCGTTCTTCACCAGCTTAGTAAAGTCGCATTTGATTCCTTCTTCTGGTCCTTCGGCGAATCTGAAATAAATTCAGTCGTGAATGAAAATGGATAATATTCGTGGCGTTCAATGTTCAAAAGTAGGGAGAAGTTTCAGAACGATTAAAGTTAAGTTGGATCCTTACTCTTTTGCTATCTTGTATTCCGGGTAGTTTTCTTGGAAGCAGGCAGCGATTTCTTTGATACTCGGACTGGCAACTGCACAGCAGAATCTACCTCTCATCGATGGTTGTTCCATGCAGAAGATATGTGCTCGGCAAACATCTTCAATGTGTACAAGAGGAACAGAACCGATAACTTCTTGCATGAATTTTAATGCATTGTAACCGTTCAAGTCCCCGGTAAGTTGTGATATAACTACTCCCACACTTGGAGGCAAATTTGGGAGAAGAGTTTCTCCTCCTACTAGGCCACAAGGAAGAGTTACTGCTTCTAATTTACCACCATCAATGTCGTTATAGTTCAGCACTGCTTTCTCTGCTAATGTCTTTGATACGATATACCCCTATAGCACATTTCCAGATTAAAGTTCAAATGTAATTATTCGATGTTAATTATTGTAGCGAAATTGATATATCGTAGAACGAATAATATAAGAACAAGTAGAAGAGGTACCATTAAGAAATCAGTGCCATGAGGAAATGAGACATCAAGGGGTGTCCAACATGATTCATCAACGTAGGGTTTGAATCCAGCCCCATCTTCTGTCCGAGGCGACGCAGCTAGTATGCTTGCAGTGTAGATGAGTCGCTTGACGGTCTGCGAACGAATGCAGGAATCAGCAATGATTCTCACCCCAGCAACAGCAGCTTCATCTGTGTTCTTGTACTGCATAATCAAAATCCTCAAATTATAACTAACCCTTCGTTTGTTGCGCAGGATTGAATCGAATTATTGTTCATGATGAGACTAGAATGGATTGGACGAAATAGTTCAATCCTATTTGCTATCTACCTAAAACAGCACTAGTGTCTGACCTGAGTGCTTAGGTTGTTATGCTGCATCGGAGTGGCAACGTGGAAAACAAACTCACACCCTTCAATGGCAGGCTCAAACCCTTGAGGGTCATATAGGTCAGCTTGGAACAGCAACAATTTGGTGTCCGCATTAGGAAGGGACTTGAGAAGCCCAACTTTCGACTCATCATCTGTAACATACGGAGTAACCATAAGAGGGTTGCATCACAGAGAGAGAGAGAGAGAGAGAGAGAGAGAGAGAGAGAGAGAGAGAGAGAGAGAGACCCAAGTTCCTGAGGGTGGCGTGGACTGTGTGGCCCTGCTGTAGGAGCTTGTTAACGAGTGAAGAGGCAATGAATCCAGAAGCACCTGTAACACAAACTCTAGAGTTTTTGTTCTCCATGATTTTGTTCCACACAAAGATAAGAGCAGAAGTTATCGTCTAATAAACATGTGAGCAGGATTTGTTGCCCTCCTTATAACCAACTCGGGATGGTAACAGTTCAGTTTAGGGACACAAATGCTATATTCATCCTCATAACCATGAAAATTCATCAGATTCATAACCGTAAATTAACCATAGGAGATTATCCATAATCATACCTACCGGGTAACGGATTTTCCATCGGTCAATAACTATATCCATCTTCATCAAAAACAAAAAATTATATTCTTCCAATTAATGCACTATAATTTAATAAATACTAATTTCGTCATTAAATAACCACGTCCAATAATAAAAAACATAACAATATTAACAATATTTTTGAAGTTGATCATGATAAGGCAATTAATGTTAACAATATTAATAATAATTTCGTCATTAAATAGTTAATGAATTTATTTCAGATTCGCCGAAGGACCAAAAGAAGGAATACATATGTGGGCACGATTTGTTGCCCCTCTTAATATGGATAAGTTGTGCTTGAATCGAATGTCTCCCACCCAATGCAACTTGTCAACACTTGATTCTCATGGCCAGCATAGCAAATCATGGACCAGAACGCCACGTGGCAATAAAACCATGCAAGTTCTCGTGACAAGACAAAAACTACGACCGATGGAGCTTTGTTTTGAAACCAGTCACATAATTTCATAACCTAAGTACGATTGTTCAGAAAACAATACCAACGTCACACCGCCTTGTTCATGTGTTATTACCCAGCAACACTTTCTTTTGAGACCAAACATGACCACTAAACCGTAGTTCCAATTTGTTTCGCTTTTACGTTTCTAAAGAAACAAGCAGCCATATAAAAGGGGCAGCCCGAAGCGAAAATGATTCCCACATCGAATTTCAATTCTGAATAATCTGAACCAAAATGTATAGCTACAATCAATGATGTCTCAAACAGTTACTTGGCTCGGTAACATGCAAAACCAGAGGGACTACCAAGTGGGTTCAAAAGCAGCCTCTTCATGCCAAACTCCGTTCAAACTAGACTGCCACAACCGTACAGCCCCATCATTTCCGGTGGTTGCCAACGTCATTCCACTCATGTCCCATTCCATCTGCCAGACCTGATCACAACATGAAGAAATCAATCAATTAGGAATGTTCATAGCCTTGCTCTCTGAGGGAAAACACAACTTGCCCTCTTAAGCCCGTACAATTATATACCCCCTCCCCTACATACACAATATCACTTTGCGTTCCAAATTCATTGATTGATAACTTTTTCGATAGTTTTATTCATACCTCGCCTTTGTGACCTGAAAGTTGTGCAATCTTCTCCAATGAGAGCCTTCCATCCAAGTCAGGGTTTAACCCAAGATGCCATATTGATATTCCCTTGTCAGTGGCAACTGCGATTACCTCATATGGCCTGAATAAAATTTAAGGAAAACTAATGAAAAGAACTTGAAAACTTTAAGTTTTAACAATAAAGACAAAATAAAAGGTAAAGTGAATAGTACCAAAATTGACTTTTTAGTATAAAAATGTGATTTTTCGTTAAAGTGAACAGTACCAAGAGTTTTTCGTTAAAGTTCCCTAAAATTTATCCAATTTATCTCTCTGTCGTAAAATAGAACAAGGCCATTTTTTCCCAATTTATGAAGACATATACCAGAAAAGCTCCAATTCCTAATCATTACCCAACAGTGCGTGGATGAGCAATGAGACAATTCCCTACCTTCCAATGTTTGGTGCCCATGCAACTGCATAGACCTGATCACCATTGTCACCAGGCGAAGCCAACTCTGCAACTGGGAGCCATCTTTGATGAGCCTGATCAAATTCCCATACCTGTAAAGTACAATCATAAAATTTTGTACAATATCACTTTTGTCAAGTTAACCTAGGCTTTGGACCTCCAAATGTTACCATAACTGTAAAAGACAAAGAAAATAGAGTCGTGTAGTGAAGGAGCCAAGCAACACCCACAACATTTATGTGGCCTGCGGATGTAATCAAATGAATGATAATTAAGTAGGAAGCAGGACAAAGAAGATTTTATCATACCTTGG